CGCCATACCTATTTATGAATTGTTCTGACCATCCCCACAGACAAGACAAGATTTCATGCTCCACATTATGACAAACATTTTATCGAAAGTAACACGATCCCGAGGATCCTGAATATTTGTTGTATAAGTGTCTTTAACAAAATGTATGCGGATAGTTCAGGTCCGATCAACTTCATGCTTACAGTTTCTGTCCGTCTGATATGAGAGGATTACGAGCAAACTTCACTGAAAAATGTTATGGATAAATGAGCATGTTGAATGTTGGGCTTCCTTAACCCCGATTATTGTGTCGAATGGTCTCCTCCTTGCTTTCAGTGAACTCAGCGATGAGTTCCAGATGTGTGCATAAACCTCAAAACAAATGAATATCTGTGTGTCACATGATCTGGGCTGTTTACTGGGTGGATTGACGGCCTGGTAATCATCGATGCATGTTCACGTGAACAGAGTAAGTTCATGAGTGTCTCACAGATATTAGCTAATGCATAGTTAACTAATCAGTAAACCCATACTACTCACTAGCACCCGTAAATAAGTAACCCACAGAGTGGATGTTGTATAAAGTTCTTTGTCATTTTCCTTCGCAGTTGCAATTGTCAAAACATAACTCCGTTCGATTAGGCAAAAGGATTCGTTATTAACGCTGACAGGAACACTCACAAAATGTGCGGGATTGCAGTTTGATGGATCAGTGTGGCGAACAAGTTGTTAACGACTATAACCCAGAAATTTGTAGTCCGGTTCGGAGTGAGGAGATGTGGAATGATTATTGAAAATATTGTGATATTGAATTCATTGTAAAATACTTCATATTGCGGTTTATTAACGTCGACTTTCAGAAATGTACCAACAGGCATACACGTTCAGATCAAGGGAGCCAACTTGATTTCAAGGCCCGCTGTGTTGTCGGCAAACTATACCATCAGTGACGTCAAATCTCAACTAATTTTGAACGGATTGTGTTAGTTGGGTTGGTTATGTGTCTAAACTCCATAAACGTGTGCGCAACTATCGTGAATAAGTCTGCAACGTAAAGCTTGCAAAAATAAGTTTCAGATTGTCCCATTGTGGACGAAAGTAGTACCTCATCATCATTTTAATGAACACAGTTGCCGTATCGCGTTTTACAACAGGTCGAAAAGCATTTTGAAGGAATAGCCTCGTGTACCTTAAGCCTTGCAATCAGGCATGAAGGACTGTCTTTGTTATCAATAGCCAATTTTATAAAGACTAGTTTCCGAATTGTAGCCAACATAAGTCATAGAAAGACGAAAAATGTAGCAAAAGTGCGCCAATAATGGTCGGTGTGTTCAACCGAACCTTTACCATAGAAATTAGTCCGTGTTGAATTAACGTAAACGATTAGATTAGTCGTATTTGAGAATGAAGTCGTGAAGCATCCGAACTTTGTGAAGTTTACTGTATGTGTTACTAATGCTTCCAGACCAAAACTATATATATATGAAACAACCGTTACATCGAGTGACTTGGTTAAAATTCAGGAACCGTACGACAGTCGTGCGTCATGCTTTTTCTGTGATGACTAAACGTTTGAAGCACAGATTCGCGAACACGCATTGCCTACACATTATCTAGTTTTGTTATTCTTGTCTTAACTACGAAATACGATGTTTGCATAAAGCGCCAACATACACCGATGCCCAGAAGATAAACTTGGTAGGCGGCCACTCCTGATAACATTGTGCAGTTATATTACTGCAAGAACAACTATTTCGCTCGATTTCCTTTCGTTTTATAAACTGCAACTGCGTCAGGCATTCATATATATGTCTGTAACACGTAGAATCTATCTATGAGTGAAAGACACATTGGTTTCAGTAAACTTCTGATTGGTTAACAAATATATTTACTGAGTACCTAGTTATTTAAAAATGGTATATATTGTAGTATGTGTGAATAAATAAGTTATCACTAATTTTTAATTGTACGAGATGGACACGAGTGGTTTTATTATCAGTAAATGTCTAACCTAAATTGCTTGTGTTCAATATGCTTACCATCTGGTAGTTTTTTTACGCCTAGAAGATAAACATTATTCAGTTGATTGGGCGTATGCGATGACATACCATATCATGTTTGTAAATGTCGTGGTTTATAAATTTACTTGTAACTTTGTTCTTCTTGACATTCAGTTGAGACCAACAAGTTCACCGTAAAAGCACGATTCAGAAAGTACTTTTCATAATATGTTAATGAACTGTTATAATCATCTCGATCTTCATGATGGAAACATGGTAATATTTTATTTTACTATTGTTGTTAAACTAACGAAAATGCTTTACTGTATAGGTGTAAATACTGATGCGACTGAGTCAAACTGTTGCGCTATTGCTGGATAACGAAACGAGAAATGAAATGCTGACAATGCTGAGCGAAGGTGCACAACACCGGTAAGTAATAACAACTAGACAATCACAGTGCTATGACGTATCACACATTCAGATAAGCCCAAATCCACGTTATGGCTCTATACAATGCTGTAATTTGTTGCGATTTTACTTACTACGTAATACTAAGGTAACCTGTTTATATGGGGCTTAATTACCTTCAATGATAGGCATTATATCTGCGAAGGAATTCATAAACACATTTATTCATCAATAGGCCAACCAATGGCTATCATTATGTTCAAAATTTTTTAATTAAACGTGTTGTGAATATATCCCCTACTATAAACTGAGCTTACTGTTCGTTGCGTTTAACTTCACTGTATTTGTCCGGAGTAAAATACAAACAGTATTAACTCACTCAGTTTCATGATGCTGTAATAATTTCTTTACCGCAAATGAGCAGTCAATAAACGAAAATGTTTCAACCGTTCGTCCGTTACACTATACTTGAAAGTTGGGTTGTGCACATGTAAGTCCACGGAACGCGATTATGGACAGTTCGGTTATGGAACAGGCATTCACGCAGTATAAAATTCGCGACCTCATGAATGCCTCATGAAAAAGTGGCCGTGGTTCTAGTCACGGCAGTGGCAGGGATATGCCCTACTGACGAGGTCTAATGAGAGGTAAACTCGAGTCTAGTGCTTCTTTTCAAAAGGGATCGACTGGAAAGTTTGCAGGATTGCGGCAGCTGCGATCAAATGTGTTGATTTACAAATTGAAATCCACTAAATCCCCGACAACCGAATAGTACACAAGGAGAGTTCACTGAATATTTGAAGGCTAAGTAATCAGTTTAATTAGGCAAACGACGTCAATGCATTTGGGGACATAGTGAAGTCTCCACCTCTTGCCTAATACGCTGAAGGGAACATACATCATGATAATTTACAAAATCATTTCCATAAATCCCTGTGACCCGCCGTACACTCTCTTACATGAAACATGATCTCTGTCCAGAACCACGCGTCAAACCACCATTCACATGAAAGTAACCCATCACAATTACATATCCTTGGAAGTAAGTTAACACTAGTAGTATGGAAGAAACCGTCGTTTTAATGGGGGCTGCTTTCCCAATCTAATCGATAAGAGGATACTACGTGCTCATTCACTATAGATAATGGGCAATAAGACAGCTTCAACCAGACTGCACATGAAATACCAACACTAGACACATTCTGACTGCACAGACTCCACATAACGTCAGTTCATCTTGAAAATAACGTGTAAATACAGATACAGGATATGCCATGTGAACGCCATATCGAGAAATGTGACAGTCACCCACAATTTGCCCATCCTCTTGATGAAGAAATCCAATATGAAACATAACTTCCGCCCGGAATCTGAGAGGCTGAACACGGTGGCACAACACACAATTTGTCAGTACAGTTCATCTGTGAGATTTCCATTAAGTCGTGACGGACGAAGTTGTTCACAATATCTGATTTACGCTGCGGACATTGGCAGGTGTCAAATAAGCCAGTGGATCGTGAGTGGACCACACTCACGGCGGACGGTAAATAGTATCAATGCAAGCGTATGTCATTCAGAGTATTTGGCTAGTCGTACACCGTGATCCTGATGGTTGGATTGCTAATTCCACTAGGTAGTGTGACAGTACATGGCGATAGCTTTGTTTTATTTGGCAACACATGTTTGAAGCATTCCATTCAACCACATGTTGGTTCAATGAAAATTCTGGATTTGGTTCAACGTGGTCTGTTTCCAACTTAGACAACCATCGGCGGTATACACATATATGATTCTCATCAGAATAATGTTGAGGCACATTATTAGGATATGATGGTTTTTAATAAGGTCTTGATTCTAAATTTTATGCATATCACTTGGAAATTTATTGCTTAGCGTTGTGTGTCACTCTAGGTTTGTGACGGATTTTCTTTGCACTATGTCATGTTATGAACTCTTTAGAAAGGACAAAAAATTTGAACCAGTCACTAATTTTTATACCTCAGCAATTTTTATGCCTCTATTTAAAAATCATATTTTATATCAGGGTGCGATTTCATTGCGGCTAAGTAAATTAGGTTTAAACGGTGATTTTCGATCCATTTTGGGGTAAAACTCACTGTTTGACCGACGTTGTACTGTTGGGTTTGAATGTAATTCAACAAAAGTTTCTTTAGTATTTTGCTGATTTTCGTTGTGTGGCATCTGAACTATTAAACTATTTCGAATAAACTTGAGTCTCAATCCAAGCCACAATCAATAGTACCAGACATGGACCGTAACCCGCGCAAATAATGTGTTCTTGCGAACAAGTAAATTTGAGTTAATTCGAAAATTAAGCTGCTCACCGTTGTAGATTGGCCCACCTATATTCAACACAGAATGTTCAAATTAGAACATTGGCAGCGGATTTTTAACACAAACTTCGATGAAGAAGCATAGTTTCGAAAGCAGTAACCCACGTAGTGCAACAATGGTCATTTGTGTCGTCAATTGTTGGCCAAACGGTGGAAATTTATATATCCATATGATAATACGTAGCATATATTTTTATTACTAACAAGTTGTTTGATAGATTTATGAGTTTAGAAGAGACCCAGTTGTAGAAAGTCAGGCCTTCGGCTGGATTTGAACCAGCGACAGAAACTCCATGCCTCACTGCGGCAAAGCGCTCCGCCAGCTGAGCCACGAAGGCACGCCAGAAGCTCAGAACTCTTAGATTTGGACTCGGTTACCCACCCGTCCCAATGTCTCATTTAGAAACATTCTTATAGCAAAATAAGCTTCGTTTGGAAAAGCTTGTGCATGAAATGTACTCAAACTTTGGTCTTTTGACTCAGCTTACAGACCACATGTGTAATCCAATGCAGTTGCCGTGACTGTTACACATCCAGCCGGAGGCCATAATTTCCCTATCAGATGTCGTCTAAGCTCACTTAGTCTACCACACTAAAAGTGAGTGTAAGTGGGAACTGGCTTAACGCAGGGTATAAGCAAACTCGACTTTAGATAATGAAATACCACTCACTTTTTCTTCGCCATGCATACCGTGAACCTAGCGGTACAAATTTCCAAAAGACATTCATGCGTACGTTGAAGAATGCAATTCAGTAAAATAATTTTTGCACAAATGAATCAAAATTGTTATTTAAAATACAATGTGTTTTTGAACCCTTTCGGGAATGAATGCAATTTATCAGTCAATAGTACAAGAAACCGAAAACGGTAAAAGATTGACAAACAACTGAATTTAGCTAAATGTCATGGGAACGGATATATATATATATATTAGAGCGGTAAAAGTTATGGCATAGATCTTATCTCCAAAGAAATATAAAGTCGTGCATAATCTGTTATACGATATCGATACAGCATTGTGATAGTTGAACGCGTTTGTTGTCTCGGATGTTTAGGATGCTAATGGTAGTTTGTTCTCTGAGCCGACAGGACAGCTAGTAAACCTTACATCTTCAGGTTACATGCCATCGTTTTTGTATGTATCTGAACGTTCGTTTTGGATTTCTCCATGTAATTTATGTCATTGAGTAGAGTTCAAGCGTTATGATCAACGGGTACTAGCAAATAAAATAGTTGAACTGGTGTGTAATCGAGTATCTAGTTAATATTTTCGTTGGACACCAATCAAATTTGAAAATAGCCCTCGCATTCAGCTACAATTTCCAGCCAATCTCCTTCGAAGTGAAGTGTTAGGCTTGAGTTTCGCTCATTTTAACACTCTTCAGTGGTGTATAGCCGGGATTAGAACTCCGGCCACGCAACCTGATCACTGTCCTCAAGCAAAAATGGTTGAACGTTCACATATGATAATTCGGTCGTGCCTAATGTGGGGTGAATGGCGAAGCGGTGAACACGGTTGCATCACAAAAGCATGACCAGAGTTCGTCCCTTCGGTAGAGAGGATGCGCACTAATGACGAGCTCTTTTGAGATCAAAACTCGAGTCCAGTGCCTCTTGGAAACAGCTTGGCTGGAAAGTGTATCTGACTGCGAAAGCTGCTTTAAATGTGAATCCCATCCAACTGAAAAAATAAATGAACAGTCAAACGCGCACATATGTTTCAGTTTCAGCGATCAGTCTGTACGTGTTCATCCTCTAAACTATTGTCACCTCGGATATCGCCCGTTATTAGCCCTTGAACTTTGATTAACACTAACTAATAGGACTCCAAATGAACGATTAACTTGCCTCGCGCGATGTTGCAATTAAGATTTTACCTAGCCTAATGACGAAACGGTTGTAAGCTAAGCAATAGAGGTTGACGAAAAACTCAGCTCCAATATTGTGATATTCTATTTGAAAATGTAGTTTTCCAGCCATGATGAAGTGATTACCTGGTTTTTGCAAGGATATCATTTCGCAAACCAATACCGACATCACATCCAGGCACCGAGAGGATTTGGTCGATATAACTTTATAAAGCTCGCAAGCTTGGTCGCAGCCTTCACGATCGGCTGAACTTTTCAGCCGAACATTGAGATATCTTGAGTAATTTGAATATTTCTCAAGAGCAAGTATGTTTATAACGCTAGATATGATAAGCTCGGCGTGCCTAATCTAATGTGAGGTGCATGTTAGTGCTCATAAGAACGATCACTGAATTATTTACTGGTCGTGGCCGGGAAACCACAGTTGACCATGTTTAACAGCGTTTAAACCCAAACCTATGGATGTTTGTGGGCTTTGATTTCATGCAAGAATTGCTCAGCATGTAAGTTCTAAAATACAATGTGAGTAAAGTTTAATTCCTATATTTCTTATACCTTGAACACTTTAATTAATCAGCTAAATTTTTAACAGAATGAATGATTTCAACATCTGAAATATGTCCAACCTCAAACAACTGAACCATAGGAACAACTCATGCAAGCCTGTTTTATATCAGTACATTTGGCAGAACTACGTCATGTTGTCCAGAACATGTGTGACTGCTGCGCACTATACAAAAGATATGCACGTGTCTGTGTGAGAACTTTTGAACTGTCATGGAGATAATTCATTTTAGTTGACTATTTGTTCAAATCAGAAATCAATTGCGGTCAACAAAAGTTGCCTACTTAATTTTGAGGCAAAAGAATATGATAGGGACAGTGTATTTCCTTCATAACACGATGTCATCAATGAGATGTGGAACAACAGGTAACATATTTATCCCCCTTTCTGGCAGATTCATAATGTTTACATTTGAGATAATGATGTTATCAAGAACAAAAGATTTGCTTTTGTCAGTATTACTCACGAATTATACACATTGACATTGTATTGAGGCCATTTTTGTCCACCTTTCCGTTAGCACAATGCTTGTAAAAAAACTGGCTTTCAGCTGTGGGCACTACTTGATTATTACAAAAGATCACGTTCTTCAAAAATAATTACCAAAGTTTTTTTTGCGAACTTAGAGATAGAAAATGTAGAAATAAGTAGCTAATTGAAAATTTTATGTGTATTGTTTCAGCTTAACCACGAATTATTGTAAATTTATCCTTTGTCACATGGGTGCTTACCGTCAACAAGTACGTCAAAACCTGCTTAAGAAAACAAGAGCGAAATATAAATATCCGAATTGTATGTTATAATTCTCTGCTAAATTATCAACCAATCATCAACCAATCTCAAACATGTACATTTGCACCTAGTCATCACATAACTAAACCACATGTCAGCTCACAAAAATCACGGTGTATACAGTAAAGTAGGAAGTTGGTGACCGACTTCATTTTGTACTAACTGAATTGACACTTCGGTGAAATGAAAAATGACATCTGAATTGCTTGTCTTAGTAATGTTGCTGTCACTTATTAGCTATGGATTAGAGATTTCTAAAGTGTTGGTAACAAACATCCATGGAATACGATGGTTATTACTGTTTTCTCGGTTCCACGTTCCAAACGCATCATATGGTGGTTTATTAGGTTGAGTGTGCATGTCGGAAGTAATGGTTGCGATGAAACTGTGAGTCCTGGATTATTGTACTTGTTCTATACTGACTTTTATTTCAGTTGGATATATATCCCTGATTAATTTTTAAGGATATATCGATCCGTTCTGAAAATTATTTGTCAAGTTTTACACTTTTCTTACATGTTATTGTGGTTTCTTCTGAAAATAAAACAGACCAATGGCGGTTTATGTATTTCTGTTGCACATTCAAACATGTTGTTCGTCAAAACATTATATGCTTTTAATTATCATATTCTCGTGTAAAAGTTTACTGCCGAAAGGAGTTCATGAAACAATTTCTCACTGTATGTGTACACCGTCGCATTTTCTTTAATAAATAAGTAGAAATGCTTTATTGTAATACATTATTTAAACTCAAACAAACTGGTTAGCTCAGCGATGAAACAGTGGGTCAGCTCAGAATTGCACAATTTGTTTTAGGTGATATCATGAACGTTTCCCCAGTTATGTGCAATGTATACTTGTGTGTACCCACTTAAATACAAACTGTTTGACTGCAGAATGTCGCTTCATGAAGTATTGTGACTAACACTCGTGCATGGCTAATCTTCGGGGTCTGACATGCCCCAAACGTAACGCCTGCAATGATTGATTTTAGTCAGAATGATTGGTGACGCTCAGAGGAGAACAGAAAAAGACCATAAATAAAAGGGCAACTGAGCGAAGAAGGAAATATCTAGCCATCTGAGATTGGGCTGCATAATTTTGCGTTATCTGCTCACAGGTGTATTGACCGGCAGCTGACCACACTCGTATACTGTAATCACATAGAAGTTGACTCGAATTCTTGTAACTCGAAAGGCATATTTCCGTATAATCACATTTTTGCTTCATATAAAACTTCAGATTATCGCGACAGCAGCCTGTCAGCAGTTTGTTTTCAAAACAAAGGGCGTAATCGGAGAGCAAAACTCTGAATATAGGTGTGACATAGAAGTCTGAGAATTATAGAAACGTTTATTCCCCGGGAAAAAATTAGCAAAAAAGCTAACGTTGGTATGAAATTATACAGAGGCGTCTGCATCAATAGTCTGAGCAGACCAGATGACAGCGTACGAGTGCACTTATATCTGAATGACGAAAAAGATATCAGACCGCTTTTCTGAACTCGTAATCGACTTGTAGTTAATTGTGTTATTTCATGAACCTATAAAATGGAGCGTAACAAAACAAATTCTTCATTGTACCACCAAGCAAACTGCAAATGCGTAACCACCCGCTCAGTAAAATGACGTTATTACGAGAACAATCAGGTGTCCTACAAAGATGGCTTCATTTAAGAGAATTACCACACTTGCAAAGGATACATTCTACACTTTAAAAATGTTCAATAAGCATGAGTCACCATTTGAAAAATACAGAAAATCTTCAGTCACAAGCTTCCGGCTACTATCGCCGACCGCTTTGATTCGATCGTATGGAATGTCTACTACATCGATCTACTCTATAAAAAACAATAATCTGTTATCCAGCAGAACCTAGCAAAGAAACTACCATAATTCCTGTTACCATTCGAGCAACGCGCCACGTAGTGAGATGCACACTATAACTGCATGAACGTTGACTGTAAGACCTTGGAATACTGTAGCTTCTAACGGTTGCCGTTGATCTGATATGAAGACCTTTTCATTCAATTGAAAATGTATTTATTTGACAGTTGCCTTAAGTAAAACAACGTCTGCTAGCTGTGCAACAAAGTAACTTTCTTGTGGATGA